CACAACCCGACCGATGGATAGGTCTTGGAGAGTCATCAGACTCAGTTCCAGAAGACATAGAATCGGACCCAAGAACTTATGACGAGGCACTCCAAGATAGAGATGCAAATTCGTGGAAGGTTGCAATGAAAGCTGAGATGGGGTCTATGGACACCAATCAGGTCTGGGATCTTATAGAACCACCCGATGGGATACGTCCCATTGGATGCAAGTGGGTTTACAAGAGAAAAAAGGGATCGGATGGAAAGGTGGAAACCTTTAAAGCTAGGCTTGTTGCGAAAGGTTATACCCATAAAGAGGGTATCGATTATGATGAAACCTTTTCGCCATTAGCTATGCTTAAATCCATTCAGATTCTCTTAGCTGTAGCCACCCATATGGATTATGAAGTCTGGCAGATGGATGTTAAGACGGCTTTCCTTAATGGGAACCTTCCGGAAGACATCTATATGCAGCAACCAGAAGGATTCATTACAAAAGAGCATGAGCACTTAGTTTGTAAGCTCAATCGGTCCGTTTATGGACTGAAGCAAGCTTCAAGGTCTTGGAATATTCGGTTTGATGAGGTAATCCAGTCATATGGATTCACCTAATGTCCGGATGAGCACTGTGTATACAAGAAAATTAGTGGAAGCGTGGTGGTGTTTCTTGTGCTATACGTGGATGACATACTTCTTATTGGCAACAACAAGAAGGAGTTGTCGGACGTAAAGGCGTGGTTGTCTAAGCAGTTTGATATGAAGGACTTGGGTGAAGCAGGACACATTCTTGGTATCAAGATCATTCGTGATCGTGAGAAGAGAATGATGTGCTTATCCTAGTCTTCATATATAGATATTGCCTTGGCTAGATTCAGTATGCAAAACTCTAGGAGAGGTACATTACCTTTCAGACATGGAGTACCTTTATCTAAGGAGTTGTATCCTAAGACGACTGAGGAGATAGAGGACATGAAGACAGTTCCTTATGCTTAGGAAGTCACATGTATGCAATGCTGTGCACTAGGCCTGATATTAGCTACGCCGTTGGCATGGTAGCGAGATATCAAAGTAATCCAGGAAGGGAACATTGGGCTGCGGTGAAACATATACGCAAGTACCTGCGTAGGACTAAGGAGTACATGTTAGTTTACCATGCAGACAGTTTGTTTCCGCTGGGTTACAGCGATTCTGATTTTCAGTCAGATAGGGACGAAAGTAAGTCAACCTCAGGTTATGTGTTTACCTTGGGAGGTGGAGCCATTTCATGGAGGAGTGCTAAGCAGAAGTGCGTAGCAGACTCCACTATGGAAGTTGAGTACATCGCAGCCTCTGAGGCAGCGAAAGAGGCAGTTTGGCTCAGAAACTTCTTGGTGGACTTAGAGGTGATTCCGAGTTTGCCACGTGTTATTACCGTGTACTGTGATAGCAGTGGTGCAGTAGCAAACTCAAGGGAACCACGAGCCCACAGAGCAAGCAAACACATAGAGCGCAAATACCACCTTATCAGAGATATTAAGGCAAGAGGAGAAGTTGAGATCACCAAGATTGCATCAGAAGACAACCTAGCTGATCCGTTTACGAAGAGTTTGCCGGAGAAGGTCTTCGCCAAACACGTAGAGGGAATGAGAGTCAAATGTATGGTGATAGGATCGACATAGGTCTTTTAGGATACGGATTGATAGGACTATACTAGTAAAGCGGCAGCTTTAAGTATTGGTGGGAGATTGTTGGTGTTATATACTTAAGCTTTGCTTTAGTGGATATTACACTT